TTCAAAAAGGTACTTAATTTTCATTGCTTAATGTTTAATTTAACCCCATTAATTTCTTTCTTGAAAAATCAAATTTGTTCTTATTATGATTCTATATTAGTCCTTCTTGATATCATATCATATCATATTTGCTAAATAAATATTGTTTCTTTTATTAATTTTGGTGTTTTTTTGGATTTTAGGTCCTCAAGATTCTCTGTAATTGAAGTATTAGCAGTTCTTAAATGGGCTGGAAAGATAAGATTAGAACTGTATTTCAGGTTTGTTTGCCTTTTTTGCTTTGGTTGATTTTTAGTTTTTGATTTCTTGTTCTGTTTATGAATTGTTGTTTCTATTTTTCATTCTCTTGCAATTGTCCTTTACTCATATGGTGTATAATACTCCGTGGGTCTGGGAAGGGTAGTGTGTACGCAATCTTACTCGTATATTGTAAAGGTAAAGAGACTGTTTTCAACAGACACATCAAAATAGTAAGAAAAGGAAATACAGTAGTGAAGAAGCAGCCATGCAGAAAATAATAGAGAAACGAAAAATAGGAACAACAAATAATATGTTCATCAAAGCAAAGGAAACAACATGTAATAATAAAATTGAAGAATAAGATAGTAGGAGAAGTAATATAATAATCTGCGGATTTTAGGATGAAAAAATCCAATTTTTTATGGGGTGAGAAGAATTGGGGGCATTGAAATATGGTGTTATTAATCTAGATTCAATCAGTGCAATTTAGTGCTCCAGTAATATAATCCAAAATTATATGGATGAACTCTGTAGAAGGGGAGGGGAGACTTAACGTAACTGGTAAAGTAGTTGTTATGTGATGAGGTTACTCGTTCAAACTGTGGAAATAGCCTCTTGCAGAAATGCAGGGTAAGACTGCCTACAATAGACTCTTGTGGTTTAACACTTAATCTTTATTCATTATTCTTCTCCTATATAAAACCGAACTAAGATTAGCTTAAATCGATTGATATTGACAGTGAGGATTCATATAGCCGACCTCAACTTGCTTGTTTTTGAGGCGTAGATGTTTGTTGCTGCTATATTCCCAATATTTCTGATGATTAATACTTCGTGTGGTTCAACACGAAGTGCTTGTTCATTCTGTGGTTTTGCTAACTTTGCTAACTTCAAAGTACTTTTGGTTGTTAGAATGTTTTCATCAAATGAACTATCAATTCGAATACTAATTTGGTTTTGCAACAACGCGTATTTATATTTCTGTTTCGAATGAAACAGGGTAATACAAATGAGATTGAGCGCGGATGTGGACATACTATTAAGTCTCATGGTTTATCTGTTGCAAGAATTCACATCCATGACTGGCTTATATTGCTACTGCTTGTAGTTATATGTATAGTTCTTTATGTCATCGGTCCATTTCATCGGTTTGTTGGGAAGGATATGATGACGGATCTGAAATATCCAATGAAAGATAATACAGTTCCAGGGTGGTCTATTCCTGTGAGTATTGTAACGTAAACACTGAAGCTTCACGAGTGTAGGCGGAGTGCTGATTACACTTGCAAATTTCAATTTTTTGTAATCAAATCGCGGAGTTTGTAGTGTTTTTCTTAACTGATTTCTCTAATGAACAGCTATATGCAGTGTTATTGCCTATTATCATCTTCGTTTTCATCTATCTTCGGAGGAAGGACGTTTATGATCTGCACCACAGCATTTTAGGTAATTCCCATTTTAGAGTTGGTACGGATTGGAACATTGAGTAGATGTAACTTTACTAATTACGCCTAGGCTTGTTCGAAACTTGCAGGCATCTTATTTGCCATACTAATTACAGCTGTAATCACTGAAGCCATCAAGAATGGAGTAGGACGTCCTCGACCTGACTTTTTCTGGCGTTGCTTTCCTGATGGTAAAGATGTATGTATCCGTTACGTTTATCTGATATGATAGTGAAAGCCATCAAGAATGCATATTGCTTAAGTTGATGCTCAATTCTATTGTAATTTTCGATTGATTTATTTCGTTGTTCCTCGTTTTAGGAGTATGATCGGTGGGGAAACGTGAAATGCCATGGTAAAGAAAGTGATATTAAGGAAGGACATAAGAGTTTCCCAAGCGGGCATACAAGTGGTCTGAATTCTCGTGAAACCTTTCTTTCTTTAGTGGGATGACAATGAGTTTGATGTAACGAATTATGGCTTCTTCTTTGCAGCATCATTTGCTGGTCTCGGGTTTCTATCGTTGTATTTGGCTGGGAAGATCAAAGCATTTGATCGACGAGGGCATGTGGCTAAACTATGCATAGTTCTTCTTCCTCTCCTAATGGCATCTCTTGTCGGGGTCTCACGTGTGGATGACTACTGGCATCATTGGCAAGACGTGTTTGCCGGAGGACTGATAGGTTCGTCTTGATCAAATTCAACACTTTGAAGTAAACGAAGGCTACGTTTTATTTGATAAGTACTAACTCCATGTCGTTTCACATTTCAGGTCTTTTCGTTGCAACATTCTGTTATCTGCAGTTCTTCCCAGCTCCATACCATACTGAAGGTACTTCGAATTATTTTGTCGTATCCAGACTAATACCATGTTAAGTCGCCAACCAACAAAACCACTCGTTACAAATAAGATCTTGTTAACGTTGACTAATCTAGCTTATGTTTGACTTATATTCCATTTTGAGAGAGTTGAAAAAGCACTATCTCGTTGAAAGGTTCTATAGTACATGATCTCCTCATTCTCAACGCATTTCCTTAAACAAAGAAGATCCGATCATCTTGGCATGATCCTTTTGTTGACAGATGCTCTAATTACACTCGTAGTCAATATGTAGCCTGATCCTTTGGTTACATATTGTATCAGTAGAAATCCCAAAGCACAATCGCGTTTTCTTCTAATTTCCTACGATTTTTTCCCCTTTTTGTTGCTAATGGTCTTGGAGAAGGCATTGCACAAAATCTCCTTTACATGACTTTACTGTTATAGTGGACAAAATTCTGAAATCAACTCGATATGTTCATTTTTTTCGTTGTTCTCAGGATGGGGACCATATGCATATTTCCGGGCAGTGGAGGAGGTTCGTGTAAGCAGACAACACGTCCCCCCTACCAACGGAGGATTGGAGGTAGAACGTCCCGAGGTACAACTAAATCAGCAATCTGGTACAACTACCATTGCTTTTGAGGATGTGGAGCATGGCAGAATGTGAGATATAAGACACTGTACACTTATGCTTATATAACAAAGTTCTATTAGGTATTTGGAAATTTGTATAAGAACAAACAAAGAAATTAAAATTTAGTAAGAATCGATCGAATTGAGTTATGATCCGCTTTTTAGCTCGAACCATTTCAGCTCAAGTATCTTTTAGACTTGACCGACTCATTTAGTTACTTAACGTGTTTTGATCAGATCAAATTTAATTCAATCCGTCTATTATACCGAAAACATGTTAGTTGAGATCAAAATTAGGTAATATTGGTTATTATCCTTAGTGGGCCCAATCTATATGGGCCTCATACCAACCTCCAACATGAAATGTCTATATTAAATAAAAAATGTGTATGGACAACTTTTTTAAAAATAAAAAAATAATAAATCATCGATCAAATCACAGGTAAAATGTATGAATTTCTTAATATTATCGATGCACGTAAATTAAATTTTTTATAGGTCAAGGAGTTGTTGGAGACACTAAAAATACAAGAAACTATAATTTTAATGGGAGGTTTATTGCTTTACTTTCTTTATAAACTATACTACATTTTTTCTGATTTTTCTGAGAAAATATATAGTTGATTTCGATTTGAAAAGTTGGTCAATCAAAAATTATTAATCTAATATTGACAAACATGATTTTTAAATTGATTAGTCAAAGATGTTTTTTTAAAAGTACTTATAACAAGAAATATCTTTTCAAAATAATTTTAAAAAATTAATCAAATTAATTATAATTCAGATTCTTATCGTTTAAAACTTCTAACACTCTTTAAGGAGCTCTTTCATTTTCAAAGTCAACAAAATAAAGAGATCTTATTTATTTCATTACGATCCGATTAGTAAATTAGGTTTTTACACCATTAATATTTTTTTAACTTATATTATTAAACTTTTTATATAGGTATATACTCCCAAGTATAAACATGCAAGTGGCAAGTTGTCTTTGTGCTAATTTAGAGACTAGAAAGTAGGACCCACATGGTAGGGGCCAAAGAGAAAAATATATATGTGTGTCCACAAAAAACATACATTCATATTTTTGACTAGATTTTAGTATAATATAATTCCGATTTTAAATTTGTCAATAAATTTTATTTCAAATTTTAAATTATTTCTTATATTTCAATTAAGTATCTTAACCTATAATAAAGTATTTTTATTGTTCAGTTTTAATTCAATACTTTCAAAAATTATATGTGTAATTTAAGTATACATTACGTAAATAAGTTAACTACTTAAAATAAATCATTTTTCTTTAATTATATGCACTAGCCTTAGCAACTTGTAAAATTTAAAATTTGTTTCAACTGAGGCTAATGCGTATAACTAATGGAGATGACATATTTATTGTGGTAAACTTAGCTACCTATTAGACATTTGAGATTAACTTAAAAACATTTTTAAAATTTGAATTAAAAGAATTCGAAGGATTCAGCGGTAGTTCGAAAAGTTGTACTATTCGGGAATCTCGGAATCTATGCTTATTTTCAATTGCCGGAAGCATTTCGTCGATTATTGCGCCCTTCCTCGTCTCTGAGTCCCTAGGTATCCACCGTAAGTCGTTTCTCATTTGAACCTCGTCCTTTATTATGTGTTCAGATACTCAATTAAAATAAACAATAATTCAAGTATCTAAATAAAATTTAATGAATTATTCATTATATATATGGAATAAGCCTACTAAAATAATATCAAAATATATATTTTAAAAATCTCTTTAAAAATGTTTTTAAAATATATTTTTTTATTTTTTTTTTCTAGCACAACAGCTGTGAGAAGTATAAAGGAAAAAACAGCTTTCTCTGGCAAAACTATCTTTTTTTTTTCTCCCTTTTTTTCAAGTCTCTTTCCTATATGGACCCTCCACCGTTTTCCGGCGGACCAATCACGGCGGCGACGGCAGCCGTGCCACCGGCCGGAACCATCAATTATGCTGACTCAGCAGATTCCTCACCGGGATCCCGCCATACTGGTTCCTGGGACGAGCAGCAGCAGCCGTCACACACCGCCGCCGCCACCACCGGCGGAAAACTCCGGTTAATGTGCAGCTATGGAGGACACATATTCCCTCGTCCCCACGACAAAACTCTTTGCTACGTCGGCGGCGACACCCGCATTTTCGTCGCCGATCGTAACACCTCGTTGGCTGAGCTGTCTGCTCGGCTCTCTAAAACCCTTCTCGGAGGCCAACCCTTTTGCCTGAAGTATCAGCTTCAGAACGAGGACCTCGATTCACTTATCTCCGTTACCTCCGATGAGGATCTGGAAAACATGATCGATGAATACGATCGTATGAGTTCGTCTTCTAAAATTACTCGGCTTCGTTTGTTTCTGTTTCCGAGTAAAATTGATTCGTGGAATCCTTCAATTGGAATGATTAGAGATAGTTCAGTGAGATCTGAAGATTGGTTTGTTAATATTTTAAATGGGGCAAATTCTACTGCTTCAACAAAGGTATTTTCTGAGTCTTCTTCGGTGAATTGCCTTCTGGGTTTAGATGATGATTTAGGAAATGCGAATATTAAAGAAGTAGAAGCACAATTAGAGGTAAAAAACGGTGGGAATAGTGTGAAAGGTACTATACATGATATTCAATCGGTGCCGGATTCTCCGATGGTTGAAACGACGTCGTCTTTTGGGTCGGGATCGTCTATGCCGTCGCTGGCGAATTTGCCGCCGATAAGGGTTCATGTTGAGGAGAGTCAAAAGGGAGGTGGAATTGAGGAGCAGTTTGCACAGATGACTGTTGGGGTTAAGCAGAAGAATGAGGAAGGGGGATTTTTGGGTTTAGCTTCACCGCCGGCGCCGGCTGTTGTAGTGCCGACGACTGTTGTTTCCGGCGTGCCGGCAGTTGAGCAGATGATGCAACAACAGCAGCAACAGATACAGCAGCCTCAGCAATTGATGTCAAAGCCTGTTATTCCATCTGATTTGCCTTCCCCTGATTCAGTTTCAAGGTAAAATTCTCTACAAAAATCTGATCTTTTGCAAGAATCATAATATATCTAACCGGAGTAGTTGGTTGGGAATGGTAAGAGTATATGCAAACCTTAGGAGCCTTAGAGGTAGATAGTAGTAGTATTGCTGCTGCAGTTTCTTGTCCCCGGAGATTAGAGTAGAAGGTTAGTAGGAAGCAGGGCGTTGTCTTGTTGTCTGTTCATATTAGTAGTAGTATTGCTCCTGCAGTTTCTTGTCTTCAGAGCTTAGAGTAGAAGGTTAGTAGGAAGCAGGATTGCTCTTGCCGTTTCTTGTCCTCGGAGCTTAGAGTAGAAGGTTAGTAGGAGGCAAGGCGTTGTCTATTCATATTAGTAGTAGTAGTATTGCTCCTGTAGTTTCTTGTCCTCTGATTTTTGTTACTATCTGTTGTTCCTTGTACCTCGTTTATCGTATCGTGTTCTGTTGTAGTTTGTAATTTAGTTACTATTTGATATTTTTGTTATTATGTGTTGTTTCTTGTACTTCTGTTATGTCTTTTTCCAGGACTGGTTTGGACTGTTTTTAAGATCATGATTTAATTTGGTGCAGTGAGGGTAGTGGTAGGCAAAGACATTACTTTTATCAAGATCCAGGGGTTCATTTCCAGTCGGGGAGCGGTAGGATTTCAGGTAATTCAGTTGATCTGAATATGAGTGATTCAATGGGAAGGGTTCAGGTGAAACAACAAGTTCAGGATGGTGGTGGTGGATATGCATTGCCAGTACAATATGAGCAGCACCCACAAATGCTCCAACCCCAACAATATGTTCATGCTGGGCAGTATATACAACAGACACCTTCGGGGCATGTGCCTATGACGTCTTACTATCCTATGTACCCTTCACAGCACCAAACACATATGCAACACCCGAATCTTGAGCACCAGTATCCCGTTTACTTTATTCCTGCTAGACCTGGCCAAGGTTACAGTTTGCCATTGCAACAAACAAATTATACCGAGCCTGCTCAAACTGTCCCTCCTACTCGTTCCCAAACACCTCCTACTATGGTCAATCCGGCCTCAGCTTATAATCCGGCTAGAAATAATCCGTCATCTAATCCTGAAATGGTTGCTGGTACATACAGAACTTCAGCTTCAGCGGCTCCACAATTAGTTCAGATCAATCCTGGCCAGCATCAGCCACAATACGTGAACTACTCTCAGATTCAACATCCTTCTCAGTCAATTCCTCCTACTTCAGCCACTACCACCAATTATGCTTATGAATTTGCTGATCCACATGCTAAGATGTACTACAGTCAGGCTCTTACTCCCCAATTGGCTGCACAATATCAAACCATGACATCTGCCCCTGCAGTAAGTTTCGCAGAAACTTCCTCTCAGCTCTCCGTGGAGAATTCGAAGCAGCAAAATTAGAACTTTGCAGGCATGAAACTGTGAGTTGGTCGTAAAGAAGCAATTTTGAAACGTTGGTTCAGTTTGTCTTGAATATTCTGTTTAAATGTTTGAATTCTTATTGTTATTGGTTTGTCGCATGTGTAAGTTATAGGTAATAAGAAAGTCGGGGTCTTTCTTTTCTTTTTTTCTGTAAGTAATGCTGTTATTACCCATGAAAGCATAATGGTACAAGATCTTGCTGTAAAATTTCAAACTCATATGGTACATTCTCAGTTCTATGTATGGTTTTCGGAACAAATATAAAGTCGTGATTTGAGGGATTTCCAAAGTTATCGCTATGTTGCGCTGCATATATTTGTTAGTTTCACTCCTCTGAATCTTGTTGTTTCTTTGTTCATGGAGGACGATATAACTGTTTGTCTGGATAATGTTTGTCTATAGTGACACTGTTTGTCTGGATAATGTTTAGCTACTATAGTGAAATATTCTTATATTGAGAACATGTATTTTAACAGCGACAATAAGAACTTGATTGTTACAGTGAAATGTTGTTATAGAGAGATTTGACGGTATTATCTCGAGATTTGTGATTTCTGCAGCTTCATTCCCAGTCTGTTGTTTACAAAGTTGGTATTCTGTATTTTACCAACTGTATTCATTAGTATGGTTTTGTAAATATTCTGTACACTGATTTTCATGTTATGGTAGTAAGAACCAAATTAGCATCAATATTCTGTTTAATTACAGTGTGTTAATTCTTTCGATGTGTCGTGGCCAAGTCAGTTTGCGCGCACCTTGACTAACCTCTTGTGGTACTTGCTATCTCCGAAAGCATAGGTACCGGAGAACTCTATTCCCCAAATGCTTAGTCAGATGAGAAGAAAAAACCTAGTATTTTCTTCGCCTCCATTGAGATTTTGTATCCGAGACTTTATGATTCTTAATTCACTTCTTTAATTACAAGATCACATTCTTGTATTTAATATTTCTAGTTGTAAGAGCCACATGACTTCTATCAAGCAATAAGAGCGCAACAAATGATGTCGCACATCACATATCCGAGCTTTAGAAGGATGGGTTTATCATCCATCGAGTTTCGAACCGTCCACAGATCTATTATAGTTACTCATATGCTACCAAACAACCTACTCCAAATGAATCACATAAAAGTAATATTTGTTCACTGATTATCATGTCATTTTTCATTAGGTTTCTTTAATCTTCATTAACAAAGTTAATTAAGATTATATTATATACTTTAAAAGGTACGAGGTTTATGACAAAATTGATACCAATCAGTTTATGCAAGATTTGGATTGTCTTTCCCAATGTTTATGTCAAAAGCTGGCAATTTTTATTTTTTTTTAGTTTAATTTGCTGAGTCCTTGCCATGTCATAGCCAGCACATGTTTATGTCTCATTTTGAAACTGCAATTATAACAAATTTTGACCTTCTTGGGAATCTTCATTTATGGTTTTTTTTATGTGTTCTCAACTATAACATCAACAGTAAAAATTTAATTGTATTCGATGTTTATAACAAATCAATATTAATTTAATATGTGTTTACATAGACGTCTTTCTCATCATTCATCCTAACTTATGTAATGTATTTTGATTTGATATGGAGTTTCAGAGAGAAATAATTATTTTTTGAAAATTATGATTTAAAATAAGTCAGAATATATGTTTGTATGACTATAAATCATTTTATTGAGGATAAAATAAAGATTTTAAAGTTAAATTGTTACTAAGTATAGAAATATATTATTCTTTTTAAGATTGACTAACAAAAAATGAGTTATATAAACTGAAGCAGAGGGAGTATAAGTAAGTTAGTGTGTTTTGGTGTAAAAATATCTGATGTAAATGTGTTTTTATTTTAAATCTAGAATCAAATTTAGAATTTGAAGTTTTTAAATTTTTGTAACGATCTTAAGTTAATATACAATAATAATTAGTTTCTAGCTAACTCTTTATATATGTATGCACTTCCAACACATCCATCTTCCAATCTTAACTATAAATTACTCTTTTTCGTTTCAATTTATGTGATTATATTTACTTTTTAAAATTTGAAAATATGTTAATACAAATTAATATAAGTTTTGTTTCTTTTTAAAACTCCTCTGCCAGTCAAATAAGTTTACAAATGGAGTACATGAAAATAACAAACAAGGGCATAATGAATGAGGATTATGACGTGATGGATATGATTCCTCCATCTTTAATCAGAACTCTAATTCCATATTTTAAGTTCTAAATATCAAAAAGATTTTAGTAGGAAGCGATTTTTTCTTTAATGGATCTTAACTAATACAAAATTCAGATTAATCAAATTCCTAATATGAAGACTGAATAGAATACGAGAAATTAAAAAAAATTATAATTTGGACATGAAATAGTTAGGTGAAGTTCCAATTTTTGAGTTTGGTGAGCAGTCAGCTTGATCTTTTAGCTTCAACCAAAGGGCATATTACTAATTAAGAACATTGATTCCTTAAGCCATTATTATTAATCAAAGGAGTTAAATTTACTAATATATGTCACAAGTTTATTAATCCATGCTTCAAAGTTTCTCTTTCCTTTTTAAAAATATATTTTTTTATAATTAACTTAATTATGTTTTTATCTTAATCTATATGTAATTCTTTTGATTTCTAAATAGTCCTGACATCATTCTCTCTCTCTCTATATATATATATATATAATTAATTTTTTTACAATATTCTCAACTCTTAACAATGATTTCTAAATAGTCCTAACAAAGGTAATAAAATGAAAAAAAAATTTTAAAAAAAATTGTAATGTAAACTTGGTAATAGAACAAGGAAGAAACAAATACCAAACAATAAATAGTCATCAAAAGAAATATAGTTATATGAATAATATCTACTACTTTCTCCGTTTCAATTTATTGGATCTACTTTTCTTAAGTCAATTCTTTTAAATGTCTTTTTTTTTTTTTGGCAATTCTTCCAATTTTCCATCTGACATATTTACGATCACAAAATTAAATATTAGTAGTACATGACATATCTAGCGATAGAAAAGTCCCTCGCGTGAACTCTTGCTCGATTAAAAAAAAAGAAAGAGTTTATAACTACGAGGTTTAAAAATCTACTTTACTTTCTTAAATTTTGTGTCAAGTTAAAATTAAAGGAAAAATTCTTTTGGCCAGAAAATTTGGCCAGAATGATAAAATAACATAAATATGTTATTTTACCTTTTTGAACATTTTTACCCTTTTAACTTTAATACCTTTTAATTAAAAATGGAAAAAAAGTTCAGTTTATTTTAAAATAAAAAGAATATTATAGATTTTTTAAATTTCTGGCCATTTAATTTTATCCAAAATTAAATAAATATATTAAAATAGAAGGAATATTTCGATTCGAAAAAAAAAAGAAGAAAAGAGAAAAGGATCTTAGATGGTGATGGAGGATAAGTAGGGTTCAATATTCAAAGAATTGCCGCAAAGTGAGAATTGGGAATAGTATTCGAGTAACTAGCTGTCGTGAGATGAATAAAATTTCTCTATTGTTAATGAGAAATTTTAAATTCGAGATATAAGTAGATCAAAATATTAATAGAAAATGATTTCCTTGTGTTTTTTTTTTTTTTGTCTACTTCCCTTTTACTTAGGGTAGTGAAAATTCAAGATAATTAGGAGTAATAAAATTTTATTCAATATGAATCTGAATTAATTCGACTTGGTAAATTTAAATAACATATGATTATATTGAAAATTTTTTTCAAATATATACGAATTCCTAACAGGACAAATCTTTGGTATTCTTTTCATATTTATATTAAAGTTTTGCGGCCAATTTGAAATTCTCTTCTCTTCTCTTGCTTTATCGTTATCATAATTTACAAGGGTTATTCGATTTGAAAAAAATAAGTAATTTAATATAATATTTTATATAAAATAATATAATATTTGGTTGTACAGGAAACAAATAATTGATGTATCACTAATGCAATGATTGGACGTTAGAGGTATTAAATGAAAATTGTATATTATATTTCATGACCTTATAATCAACGATATTGAATTGAATTTTCTTAATTTCTTCACATATTACTTCTTCATATTATGAATCTTTTTTGTTAAAATCTTCGTAAACCAATTGCAACAACCCCCTCCCCCCACCCTTCCAAAAAAATAAAACGAATTTTTCACACAGCAATCTTTATTTGAAATATGAGGGGCTAGAACCCTTTTGGAGAAAAATAAATATTTTTATGTTAAAGTTCATGACATTATAAATGGTCCAACATTGAACAAGTCATGTCTATGTATTAAATGTTCATAACTGTGGCCACTGCAAATCATCATAAGGTAACTCTGACTCACTAGCCCATAGAGTTTTCCTATTATTTAATTGATATCTATATTAGAATTTGATTATATTTGGATAGCGTATTATTGCAAAGTCTTTCTAAGGAGGTGTTTTTAATAGAGTTTTTTCATTCTATAAGAAGCTCAAATTTAAAATATTTTGATTATGGTAAAGAGATTACAATCATCCCGTCATAATGCATGTTGATATCATTCCATATAAATTTTTTTTAGTTTTTCATCCGGTATTTATAATATAACTTGACTAAATTTGAATTTGTGCATTGCAACATTTTTGGCAACTCGACTAAATTTGAATTTGTACACTGCAACATTTCTGGAGTCGACGGCGCTCCCAACATGTTTTTTCTTCAATTTCATGAAATTCGAACCCGATATCTCTGGTTAAGGATGATGATCAAGATCACAACCATCCTACTATAACTCATGTTGTTATCAACACATAGTGTTTCTATTTGTTTTTTTTATCCAATGTTCGCATTAGAGTTCAATAGAATCAAAATTCATGCATTATAAAACCCATTTCTAGAGACAACGACACTCTCCACATGATTTTTTTCCCCAAGACTCGAACCCAAATTCTCTGATTAAGGGTGAAGATTAGGATCACAATATCCCACTATAATCCATATTGGTATCATCCCATTGAGTTTCTTTGTGTATTCTCATTCAATATTTGCATTAAAGTTTGACTAAATCCAAATTCATGCATCACAAAGTCCAGTTTTAAAGGCGATGACATTCTCAACATGATTTTTTCTATTTTAAAAATTCGAACTCAAAACCTATGATTAAAATTGAAAGAAACTCTAATTTAGCCATACATATACTACTACAATTCTAGTCCACCACCTTTCCTTTTCTTGAAAAAAGATACACATGTTGAGTCAACATCAATTGTACATTTAACATTTCTAGATTTTTCCTGTTAAATTCAAATATATGGTTATTCAACTTTTATTTT